CGGATGCGATCTGCAATAGAACATTTATGACATTTGACTTTATTGAAGAAAAGCCAGTACAACTTACCGCAGCGGCGACTTGTTCCGAACAGCCTGGATAATGGAAACATAAGGAGAACCGGCGCACATCATGGCATAGCATCAGATTCGCTGTGTCTGAAGATCAAGGATTGTTTCAATAAAGAAGTGGACGTTCTGTTTACAGAAGAGATCTGAAATTTTACAGGTATCCTATTAGCCTAGCAGCAAATGTCCCCTGATGTCAAGGAGTAGCTTTTCGTGCTGCCGATACTGGCGCGTGTCAAAGAACCGGGTTTAGCGCAGCGCTAGCCCATTTTCTACCAGCTGTTGTCGATCGCTCGTTTGAAAAATTTGTGGACTGTCTGACGTTGCCTCCCCTCCCTGGTACCTCTCCCATCGTCCACCGCGAACTAGGGTAATAATACGTATTCAATGATAGTTCGTGTACCCTTGGCAAATTGAAGTACACATTGGTAACCAGCCGCACACGAGTTTCCCGTTCACAGAACCTCCTTTGCGATTGATCCTCCCGTCTTCTCCCACGAACTTCACATGCCTAAGCTCTTAAGCATGGGAATAATGAATTTTTTACTCTCGATCATGGGAGCAATAAATTCTTAATTCCATTACTGCGGTTATATGCTGCAACATGAATCCTAGAACTGCACAGTGGGTGCTGAATTATTTATAGATATAACCTTCCGGAACCCCCGCTCTGTTTCCTGCAATCATTTGAAACGCACATTTCGTGATTGCTTATGATAGCGAAAATCTGCGTGAGGAAGGCGGTGAGAAGGCGATAATCAAAGGCAGTTGGCACGATAATTTCATGCACACTTTGATAAACAGCAAAGGTGTCCTGTTATGCAAAAGTGGTCTACGGACAACTTGAACTCGGTTCCTTTGAACGCGTCGAGTCTGGGTTTTTCTCTGCTCTTTCTCGTCCGCATGGCACTCTATGATCATTGTGACTTCGCACATTCCAGCTTTTCACGTACGATAAGTGGCTCACCCACCCCGGAGTCCTCCCCTTGAAAAAGCTCGTTTCCTGGCTCGCCATAACTTCTTGAACTTCATGATCTTGGCAAGCGTTGCCCTCTATCTGTCTGCGTCTCTTGGTTTCGCAACAGGACCAGGCACA